CACAAGAAGGCATCGGATACAGACCTAGGACACCTTAAATATAGGTGTGTGCGCCCTGACTGGTTTGGCTCAGTGGATAGAGCGTCGGCCTGCGGACTCTAGGGTCCCAGGTTCGATTCTGGCCAGAGGCATGTACCTTGGTTGCAGGCACATACCCAGCAGGGACCCAGTAGGGAGTGTGCAGGAGGCAGCTGATCGATGTTTCTCTCACATCAATGTTTCTAACTCTCTATCCCTCTCCCTTCCTCTCTGTAAAAAATCAATAAAATATATTTTAAAAAAAATATAGGTGTGCGCCCACAGGTGCCTGCTTGTATGCAAACAGCACAACACCTAGATTAGAGGTTCTCACCTTTGGCTGCACAGAACTACCTGGAGAGCTTTTATTTATATTTTTTAATCCTCACTCGAGGATATTTTTCCATTGATTTTTAGAGAGAAATATCGATGTGAGAGAAAACATCGATTGGTTGCCTCCTGCACGTGCTCTGACCAGGGCCTGGGCCAGGGAGGAGCCTGCAACCCCGGGCATGTGCCCTGACTGAATTGAACCCGGGGACCCTTTGGTCCACAGTTTGATGCTCTATCCACTGAGCCATACTGGCTAGGGCCCACTTGGGGAGCTTTAAAAAATTCCAATGCCCAGGCCCCACCCAGCTCAATAATCTCAGAATCCCTATTTTGGGAACCACTGATCTAGATGAATGGACTCAGAAATGTTGACACTGGGTTTATTACCAGGAATGGTGGTGAAGTAGATTTTAACAGTGCAGTGAGCAGACTTCCACAATCTAGCGTTTGAACCCTGGTGTCACTATTTACTGAGTGGTCTTGGTAAATTACCTCTCTATCTGTAAAACGGTGATAATAATCGTTACAATAAAAAGCCTCGTAGAATTGTTGTGGAGATGGAATGAGTTCATATATATATTATACACACACACACACACACACACACACATATATACGTTAAATGTTTAGAACAGTATCTGGATCATAGTGTTATAATTGTATAATTATTTCCGATTTTTATTTGTATAATTTAAAATTTTATTATAGAACAAATCATTTTTTTGGATGAATTTTATGAGCAGGGTGCCCCCCCCCCCCCAACCTGTTATGAAAAGGCAAGGGCTCAGAGTCAGATTCCAGGCCAACCTACTTCTGCCACTTCCCATGTAATCTTGGACAAGTCACTTACTCCAGTCTCTGAAGCTGTCTTTTCATTTGTAAGTGAGGTATCTTTCTCTACTTCAACGATTGTTCTGAGGAATAAACACCTCCAGGAAATATTTAATAAATGGTGGTAAAATCCAAATACCTAGGGGCTATGTTGCCTTGATATATTCTGGGACCAGGTATGGGACTGTGGTAAGAACAGATCAAACAGGGTGCCGTGCCCTGGCCGGTTGTCTAAGTTGGCTAGAGCATAGTCCTGTACACCAAAAGGCTGTTGGTTCGATTTCCAGTCAGGGTGCATAACCAGGTTGTGGGTTCGATCCCCAGTTGCGGTAAGTATGGGAGGCAATAGAGATGTTTCTCTCTCTCTCTCTCTCTCTCTCAAATCAATAAAAACATATTCTCGTGTGAGGATAAAAAATCAAACAAATATGCCGAAACCGGTTTGGCTCAGTGGATAGAGCGTCGGCCTGCGGACTCAAGGGTCCCGGGTTCGATTCCGGTCAAGGGCATGTACCTGGGTTGCGGGCACATCCCCAGTGGGAGATGTGCAGGAGGCAGCTGATCGATGTTTCTCTCGCATCGATGTTTCTAACTCTCTATCTCTCTCCCTTCCTCTCTGTAAAAAATCAATAAAATATATTTTAAAAAAATTATGTTTAAAAAAAAAATCAAACAAATAGGGTGCTACTCATCCTTCCCCACCCACCTGGGCAGGGTCTCTGTTGTCCTTTGCCCAAGGCCCCAGGGCCCAAGGGCACAGAGAACCTTAAATCCCAAAGGCTGGCCCTTGGCCTCTGGAGCCTGTTCTGCAAAATACATCTTGGCTCTCCTTACCCCTTACTAAGCTATAGAACCCTGCCCTCCCCCATTCTCTCTCTGACCCCTCCTTTCAGGGAACCCCAGTTTTCCTTACCAAGCCTGCCTCCCATCCGGAAAGCTATAAGCTCTTCTCTGAGTTCCCATCCCTCTCCTGTTGCCCCTCTTGTTTTTAAAGAATCCTCACCAGAGGCTATTTTTTCCATTGATGTTTTTAGAGAGTGGGAGGAAGGGGGAGAGAAACATCGATGTGAGGCACATCAATTGGTTGCCTCCCGAACGCACCCCGACTGGAGGTGGGGATCAAACCTGCAACCCAGGTACATGCCCTTGACCAGGAATTGAACCCACAACCCTGGCCCTTCGGTGTGCGGGCTGGTGCTCTAACCACTGTGCACACTGGCCAGGACACCCCTCTCTTTGTAGTTAATCCTCTCAAGTTAAGCTCTCAAATTAATGAGCCCCCTTGCTGGGCTATAATCACCTCCCTGAATTCCCATTTCCTTCTTGGGTCGCCCCCTCCCTATCCCCACTCTTATTCTGTGGTAGATACTCTTCACTGGCCTGTCTCCCCATCTCTAGACCAATCACAAGTGGAGCCCTCAGTCTCCCACTGGGCACTGCCTCTGCCCAGCCTGCCCCACCTGGACAGCCTCTCCAAGTCTCTTCTGCTTCCTCAGCAACCGCAGAACATTTTTTCCCTGCAGGCGATTCCTGGGGCTGAAAACAAGCTTCTCCGGCCTCCCCCACTGGTTCCTGCAACGCCACCCACCCCCTCCAACCAGCCTCCACCCTGCCCGAGTGGTCTTGCCAAAGCTCTCTCCCCTCCCCAAACACACAGTGTCTGCTCCAAACAGACCTAACTACGTGTGACTTCCGCCCCCTGCCACCCTCTCACACCTCCAGGCCTTTGCACATGCTCTTTCCGCTTCCAGGAACAAAGCCGCTCTCCCCGACCCTCCCAGGGTCTTACTGCTCCCTGCCCCCACTTCCAGCATCTCTCTGGATGGTCGGCTTGAGCACAGTGTTGATGCCTTTGCTCTCACCATGCAGGAGGGTGAGGACTTGGGGGTTCGTGGAGGGGCCTTGGTGGGTGGATGAGCCGTCACATCCAGCACAGATGCTGCAGTTCTGTTTCCTGCCCCGATCTGAACCTCTGGCCTTCTCTTTCAGACAGGGGTGCCCACAAGGTGGGGGTCTGTGTTTGGTTTTAAAATTTTGTACATTTTTAAAAAGTATTTGCAGTTGCTGGTTTTGTGCAGAAAGGGCCCCAGGCCGTGGGCTTCTCCTTTGACTCTCCCAGCCTGGACCTTGCTGGTCGGGTCAGGGAGGGAGGCCGCGGGGAGCTGGCCCTGGGGGTCTCCCTGAGCTTCCGCCGGAGGGACACGGAGAAGCCACACTGGACAGAGCTTTGACATACAATGCACCGATAGGAAAGGCTGCTCGCTAAAGACCAGGCAGCCCAACGCGGGCATTGTTTAGTCAAGCATCCAGGAGCTCCCCAAGGTCAGGGGAGTGGGAGACAGCTCAGTTCTTCCAGCTCCACCAGAAGCAGGCACAGGAGTAAGAGTCGTCTTTGCATTTCCAAAGTTTACGAACGAACGCTGCGAGGAAACCTAGACCCAGCATTTGGGGCTCGGGATGGAAAAGAGAAAGCAGAGGAAGAAAGGGTGTGACTGGCTTAGTCACACCCTGCAGTTTGCAGGGGCAGATGGAGGTGGATTGGAGCAAAACAAGGGCCTGGAGACAGAGGAGACCCAGGGCCTGGGGCAAAGGGGAGACAAAAGGGGGGGCACTCCAGTCCTTGTGGGGACAGGAGGCATCTCACAGGGTTCTTGGGCTTAGGACGGAATGAGTGACTCAGACAAGTGTCCCTGAACCAGAACAGAACGTGTGGCCCAGAGGCTGGGGAAACACAGGACCTGGGCCGAGAGTACATGCGGGGCGTCTAGGAGGGGAGACCAGAGACGACTCAGAGGAACCTAGGACTCGGGGGAACAGGGGTCCTAGAGGCGGGCATCCCTGCACTTCGAAAAGGACGGTGGTCCAGGGGCAGGGGAGACCCGGGGACATAAAAAAGGGCCCAGAGAAAGGGAGAGCTGGGACGTGGGCCAGAAGAGGGTCTTGGAGTGAGGGGAGACCAAGACCTAGGGCAAAACAAGGAGCTTAGAGGCAGAATCCCTGCGCCCGGGACAGAATGAACAGCCCGGGGGCCAGAAGTGCTAGGGGGCAGACTGGGGAGCCCAAGGCAGGGAGACCCAGGGCCTGGGGAGGAATTGGGGTAGTGGGCCCAGATGTGAAGGTGACTCAGATCTCAGGCAAAAGGGAAAACTAAGAGGGAGGGACCACAGGGCAGTATTTCAACTTCTCTGGGGACCCAGTGGCTGGTGACAAAACCCAGGCCTGCCCCTTCCATCCCACTCACTCACCCGCCCACCCCTTTCACAAGACACAAGGTGTGTGTGTTGTTTTTTTTTGTTTTTTTTTGCTTTTTTTTCATTTCTTTTTAATACAAACTTGGATCTTTGGGTGTGTCCTGCCAACAAAAAACAACAACAACAACAGAAGAGAAAACCCAAAAGAGTGAAAAATAAGAAAGAAAAAAAAAAAGCCCCCGCAAGAGGTTCTTTTCCCTCCCCCCCACCATGCGAATTTGCACACCACGGGACCACAGCAGGTTTACAGAATGCAATATACAATCCACGATTTATAATAAAACAGTATATACAATAAATAGGATATTGTTCATTTTTGTCAAACGACCTGTAGATAAATTTCTCAGTGCATACTTGCAGGGGCTCTGGACACCTCGAGGCCCCGCTTGCAACCTCTTGCACGCGCTCGCTCTCTCGCTCTCTCTCTCTCTTTTTTTTTTTTGTCTTTTTCTAAAACTGTGTTTTGTTTTTTAAGTTTTGTACATTTTTAAAAAGTATTTACAATTGCTGGTTTTGTGCAGAAAGGGCTCACC